AATAAAATCCATTTTCTTGTGCTTAAAGCTTATCCATATCCACTAATACCCAAGTTATTCTTGATCTTGATCGGTCCGTTACAGTTTGAACGGACTACTTCCAAGTTCTAAAATCCTGTTTCCGGAGACCAACTGTTTGATTAATTAATACACTAGTATATTTCTGCCTGTTGATATTTCCATCGCAAACACAACCAAATTTTTGTTACTACAAATTTGATGATAGACGACCAACCTGATCTCAACGACATATTGACAGTACTAAACCAAATCCAGTTGGACAATCAAGCGCTTCACCAAGAAAATACAGACCTCAGAAATACTCTTGAACAACTCCATGCCCAAGGAGGTGCTAATTATCATAAAGAACCTAAGGTTAGCCTTCCGGACAAGTTCGATGGGTCAAGAGCTAACTTTAGAGGTTTCTTGAATCAAGTTCGTCTGGTCGTATGCATGCAACCTAATCGTTATCCCAATGACCAATCTCAAGTAGGACTACTTGGAAGCTTACTAACCGGCCCGGCATTGGCTTGGTTTGCCCCATTATTGGAAAAGCAATCACCGCTACTCGAGAACTTTACAGAGTTGGTCAGAGAGTTTGAAGCCACTTTTGGCGACTCAGATAAATCCAGGACAGCAGCAAATAAAATTCGAAAACTCACCCAGGGCCCAAGACCAGCATCAAGTTATGCTTCTGAATTCCGGCAAATTGCTGGTGATTTGGATTAGGGCGAAGCAGCATTGATAGATCAGTTCCGAACTGGGCTTCGGAATGATGTAAAGGATTTGTTACTTACCATTGAAGACCCCACCTCTTTAAACGACGCCATCTCCAAAGCAGTTAGATGTGATAATAGGCTTTTTGAACGAAAACAGGAGCGCCATCAAAACCTTTTTTCACAAAAATACCAATCCCAGACTCTTGGAGATCCAACAACCTCTGCTGGGGAGCTGATGCAAATTGACGCTGCAAGATTCAGACCCTTAACTGAAGAGGAAAAAAAATGGCGCCGCACAAACAACCTCTGCTTGTACTGTGGTGCACCGGGTCATATTGCAAGGAGTTGCCCCAACAAATGTAAAACAACACCAAGAATTGACGCTATAGTGACCACAGCAGAGATGTCAGGAAAAGAGGAGACCCAGTCGCAGTAGGGGGGATTCGACTGGATCATGCAATTAGTTTACCCCCGGAATATATATTACCTGATAAACCTGCAAATGCTCTTACACTAACCTTGAATCTATACCTACCAGATGGGGCTCAAATAAACATACAGGCTTTGATCGATTCGGGTGCTT